AAACCTGACGCTCACAGTCATCTTTTAGTGTGAACCTACGGCGTGTGGGTTTGTATGCAGCGTGAGCATTTCTCTGAGTTTCCCAGTGCCAACATCATCAACTGACTTAAACTCGAACAAGAAAAAATGTAGAGTGACTCCTATGATCAAATCGCTTCGAACGACACAGATAGCCTTGTTCAGGTTCGCAATGCCTTCTGGTTTTTTTTGGCGGGGAAGCGGAGACGAGGTACAAAAAATATTCGTGCAAGGGAAAATCCCATGAAACCGTTTGTGAGAACATCGTTTCTCGGTACCAGACCCTTGTGTCTTCCCTCTCCCGGGGGACCGTTTTTCTGCACAGAAGTCCGAAAACTGAATTTATAACTTGGCAGCTCTGGCAGCTCAGTAAAAGTATGTAAAAAGTAGCAAATATGGGCGTTAAAAAACAATGAGAAAAAACGAAAAGTTGTGAAAAACTATTTGAAAACATTACAAAAATTGAGTCCGATTGTACATTGAGACTTGGTTTACGTGTATTAACATACAACATTTCATAGACGAGGCAGTCAAACTTGTTTGTACATTTCTTTAAAACAGTGAAATTCTTGCAGAGATCGTTTGGAATCAAAAGATGCTTCTCGTGGAAATGTTTGCCATTTGAAGAAAATGAGCCTTTGTGTTCATCAAATTTGGTTGTTTAAGTGCCCACGTGTTAGACCAACATAACCTACATCGCACAGGTCTATTGCACTTTAAACCTTTCCATTTGAAAAATTTATTTCTCAGATGATTAAGAATTTTGGAAAATAAAAATTACACAGGCCTATCAAGCGAGAGCTGAGCTTTCAGAAAACTGATATCCGAGGTTTCAATATTCACACCTTAGGTGTTATTTCCGATTTATATCGTGGGCTCAAAAATTCAAGAATTCCGTATTTCTGGCTTTCTCTCAGTCGCTAGCAATATAAAAAAATGGAACTCACTTGTACTTAGTTTGTTCATTTATCTTTTTTTTTCCCGGCAGTAGCCAGTAAATGTTTCCAGAGATATAGAGGTGGATTTTTTTTGTAATGCCCTGTAATTTCAGGCGGCTGCCAAAATTCCAAAATATTCTGGGAACTGCAGGGAATTTAAGTAATGATCTGGGTGAGGTGGATAGCAATTTCTTTTGTTATGCGGCAACGGTGCTTTCCCCACATAGGAATGTTCTCATTTTTACACAGAGAATGCATAAACCTACATGAAGGCCGTTTACGCAATAAAAATGCATTTACACTCCACTTTGAAAGGGTGTTTTTTTTGTGTTAAAAGATTTTGACCAATCACAAGAGTTGAAAACAATAGCCAAGAAATGTTTACAATTTTACATGTTCCCCACATAGGATTTCTTTGTTATTCAAACTGAGACCAGATTTTGTTATATGGAAGATGGTTGGAAAGTAAGGATGAATATATGAACTGCTTTATGAAGTTTTGTTAACTTTTGCTGTTTAAGCCAATCAGAAGTAAGTACAGACAATAGAAAAGTTAGCACCTCTTTTGCATTCCAACATGTTCGTTGCCGTTGTTGCTATCGTTCTTATCTGGACCGTTTCTTAATACATTTTTCCTTAACATTATGTGAATAAACCTGGCAAGTTTCAGAGTGGTATTATAAATCCTCATCATTTTACATCAATCTGTCTTCAGTGCAGTCCGAGACAGCCGCAAAATTGCCCTTAAAGGGACAGTGTCCCGATTATGCGCAAGCACGAGTGTCATCTGTTTTTTCTTCAATAGACAATAGAACTGTCATATTGACTCGACAAGATTTTCTTCCGGACTACACCGCCGACGGGGTTTTGTTGTTTATATTCTCAAGTAATATTTTAGACTTTCGAAGAAGTCTTTCGTCTTATTTAAAATTTGACTAGCGACACGATGACTCATCACGACTTTATCACCAGCAGGGCCGCCTCGTGACGCGAAAATCTCGTTCCGCTCGCTTTTAAAGCCGCTTTTCTAATGTGAAACTCATGTCTGAGGTCAATTGTTCCAAGTCCAGTGATATTTACCTGATTTGCTCGCCTTCTAGCCTCAAACGTTTGAAAGATATAAATAAAAATGCAATCTCAACCCTATGAATCATTGCAATGGTTAGTCAAAAATGATATCATGATTTCGTTGCACTAGTTTTTCTAAACATGTAGCGCCTGTTTGGTTGATTGTGTCAGCCCTAGGGAGTAAAAGTTTACTAACGCGTCTTGCAAAACAATCTGCCTCACGAAGCTAATTTCACGAGATCTCCTCAGTACAGTCACATCAATGTCTCAATGTTTTCTTTCTTACAGTCTTTATTGTTGCTGTTTCATTTCTGCGTATTCCTTTCACAATTATCTGAGCTTGTATGGAAGCTGGCAGAAGAAATTAAGTCTTCAATCGGTGTCAAAACGCTTCCCATCTTTTGGTCCTCCGGCCAACGGCAATAAAAGTAACACCAAAAAAATCCTGATTTCGCCCAAATCGAAACTTAACGGGAACTTTACATCATTGATCAGTAATCCTGAGAAGTTTTAGTGTTGTACTGAAGTCGGCCAAGCGCGATGCAAACGGACTTTATAAGGTTGTCCTACTGTCCTCGCATCTTTTGATTTCACAACATCCTTTCCAAAAATGAAAGTTTGGGCATGCGCAGTAACGGGATACTGTTCCTTTAATTTTGGTTGCGCTGCTTTCTTCGTCACCATCTTTAATTCTTATGAGAAAACAGCTGTTCTTAATGTTTGATGTGACATTGAGCCGATTGTAGCACAAAAAGAGGAGAGAAAATACAAAAATCTTTGTTTGAACTCGTTGCGTGACGTGCTCTCAATATGGCGTCATAAACAATGTTTTAGCCTTAGGAACGTGCTAATTTGCATAATAGGTCATTAAACTGCGGCCTTATCTGTTATCGACCTTGCAAGGATCATATATCTAATGTGTCTCTAGGAGGCTTTTTACAGCCATAGAAATGATTTAGAAATGTCAAAACAATGGTACTTCATTTTGGGGAAGCAGAAGAAAAGCCAATTTTGCTATAATTTGCTCTGGCTTACTTGAAACTCATAACGCGTTGTCATGTGTCGGGTTGTGAAAATCGCAACCTTTCTGTTAACAATGGGAAGGATCGCGTCAGATCTCAGTCCTGTGACTATAAATATTCCAAAAAAGCGTTCTTAGATACCAACTTTGGCCTTTGTTTTCTCGGCTTTTATTTAACGAAAATGCTTCATTTTTGGAATTTGAGTTTAGGTTAAGAGTACATTTCAAATAAACGATTTTATTAGCATGATCATTTTTTACTTTATAGCAGTTCTAATACCTTAAATTTATATACAAGGCATTGTACAACCGGTGGCTGGACTTTGCACAGTTTTAGGTCTTGTTCAATCTTGTGACTCACAAAGACACGCTCGGTGTTCGTGTGAACCTTCTTATTCAAATCCTTAAGTTGATTCTGAAGAATATAAGCTGCGGCCTGGTCTTTAAATGGAAGAACAATTGGAACGGGGTCCAATCCATTGGTATCTGTCAGTGAGGAAACAGATTGATCAGATACTTTCAAAGCAATAAATCAAGTGATTGTAGAATCAATAAGTTTTTCCAGGTATTTTATTGTAGAGAATAAAAGTTTGAGGTGATCACATTCCTCAGAGAAATAGGATGTGTTAGAAGAGAGTCGAAATGCGTGATCAAGCGTAGTCTTTAACAGGCCATATTTATATTGATCATTGACCTGACTCTTGTATTGCAACAAGAAGCCAGCGTTTTTTGGTTTCACATAAACATTTGTCTCAGTGTGTGTACATTTGTTCAACAACTGTGTGTCCAGAAACAGAAGCATGCCATTTTTTTCTGTTTCCATGGTAAACGTAACAGAGGAATGGCAGTGGTCATGGGTCTGAAGGAAGTTATCAGCTAATGCTTTGTCATGCATGATCCTTAACGTGTCATCAACATATCGTCTGTAATATGTAGACATCTTGCCTTTGTGCTTAAGAGTTTCTTCGATGCTGCACACAAAAACATTGGCTAGTAAGGACCCAAGTGGGGAACCCATAGTGACCCCATCGGTGTGTTCATATAGTTGGCCGTTGAACAGCATCATTCTTTCTTAATTTAATTTGACTTAACCCCTCCAACAAAAGCCGTAATTGCTCCAGGTCCACTATCTTAGCTTTCAGTGTCAGAATCTTGTCGCCTATCCTGTGTTTCGTTCATGACGGAGGGAAGATTACTCGGATTTTCAAACACGCCATGCTTTCACTTGCAGGAAGAAGGCAACATCCGGGAACTTTTATTTTACATCATAAATAACACAGGCATTCCATGGGTGCTATTGAGATCATCCTAACACCCCCACTTGATCTCTTCCTATGTGTGTCCTAGAATTACATGAACATTATAATATTACTGAAATATAAACATACAGTTCATTTCATCAGTCGGTAAACAAATAATGATTTATCAGTACATGTATATTGAACTTATACGTCTTGAAAACCAAAAATATAACTCCTGAACTTTTGTAATTTAAACTTTGTAGCTGGTTTAGTCATGACATCAGCAACCACATCGGTGGTGGGACAATACTAGTCTTAGTGATTATCTCAACATCTCCCCTCTTGAGTACCGCATTGTTAGGTCGTGTCCCATCTGCTAGCTCAATGTATTGTTTTGTCTGGCGAGGTTGTCATCAAATTTATTGAATTTGGACTTGTCATTGATGATGTGGGTAGTTGCTCCACAGTCCACTAGTAGAGCATTTGGTTTCCCAGTGGCCCTTTCACTTGCATGCTCCACTTCCTCATCAGGATCTCTTGAAGTCCCAGAAGCTTTCTTTACTTTGTCAGTCCTATTTTTCCCTTTGAGGAGTTATGACACCTGTTGCACCAGTGTCCGCCTCCGTTTTTTCTCTTGTCTTTACTATAATAGAAGCAAGCGATATGTCCTGGTTGGCCACATTGAAAACAGGTGACATGCCATTGAGATTCTTGCTAGTGTTCAGTCTTCATGACTGAGTGATTTCCGGTTGCTATGTTTGGTCGCTCAATGTCTTTGAAGCTTTGCAAGGCGACTTTACCCTGAATACCCTGAATGTCTGTTGTTTCTCTCTCTGAGTAGTGAGCTTTCAGTACCATCGATATTAGGAGGCTATTTGTCAAGGTTTCACTGGCATTTCTAAAAGCTGTGGCTAAAGTTTTAGCTCGTATGACATAGTCACTGTCTCGTGTGCCAACTTCACTAACGAAGTCAGTTCCGTGTACAATAAAATCACTCTGAGCTTGTCTGTACCAGCGTAGTGGGCTCTTAAGGATCTTTAATGCTTTACTCCCGTCATCTTGTGCATCTCTCATTATGAGGGCAAGGCTTTTATCATCTAAAAATTGTATCAACTCCATGAAAACTTCTTCATTCTTGGCAGCATCAATTTCTGTCTCTTTAGCTGCAGTAATGGTATCCTTCAACTTTTGTAATTGCATGTATCCGAGAAATTTTATTTCCCATTTTTCATATTTGCGCTCATCTCCATCGAGAGGAAGTCTCCCGTTCCTTGTTCTGGGCCCATAACCTGTTCCGTTCATGACGGAGGGAAGATTACTCAGATTGTCACATTGAATTGACAAAGATCAAACTGGCTGCTTTTTCACTTCAAGGAAGAAGGCAACATCCCGGAACTTTTATTTTACATTCTAAATTGCACAGGCATGCCAAGCCTGTTAATGAGATCATCCTAACATCCTGGCCTTCTGCTAGCCTGGCTTTCTGCCCTTTAGATTTGTTGGAAGTACAGTAACGGCAAATATAGCCTACTTCAGCACAGTCAACACACGTTGGTGGACCACGTGGTTTATTTTTCGTGGTAACTCCACTTAACACCGACTCCGCTTTTCTCAAACTATGGGACATCTCAGTTTGCTTCATTTTCACATGTCTGAGAGCTTGTTGAACAAAATCTAAGGTGATGTCATCCACGAGACAACCAGTTGCAAAAGTACTTGAGACAATGTACGGTATTTTGGCATAAAAGGTCTGTCCATGATCTTATGCTTCTGGTCCCCCCTCCACCCCTTATCAAAGTTGGTAACAGTACAATACCATGCTCAAAACTTGGAGGAACAACTTTGAATGGGAGGGAGGTCAGTGTTATATCTCACAGACCTAGGTTGTTTTTTTCGTGGGAGTGTCTGAACAGTTTTGCTACTGGTTGTAGCTTGCATGGCTGTTACTAATGATGCAAAATTTCTCAGTAAACTGCCCAAGAGAGTTACAACCTGGTCCTCTTCGGAGATAGGTGCACCAATTGCTGCAAGTCTATTAGTAAGATGTTTCATATGTTTTAAATGCTGTTCCATTCCGTTCATCTGGGCCCATAACCTAATGAAATTTACAAGCTTGAAATCCAGAAATGTACTTCTAACACACAGGCTCTAATGAAAAGTGACTAAATTAAAGATCTAAACGCTAAAAGGCAATTGTCAACAAAATGTAATAAGTAACAACAAAAGCTCCATAATGATAGGTTTTTAGGTGATACTTAGGCTGAAGGAGGCGGGCTTTATCTGCAGACTGCAGAGTTCTCTGCTTGTCTGTTTGATTATCCTTTACTCATGGAAATTGACAGTTTTGCTTCATTATGAATGCATGATTTATTGTCTTTTTTTTAGTTATTTTGTTTAAGCGAGTTATGTTTTCAATAATCTTGTCTGTTGCTGTTAAATGTTTTTTTTAGATTTTTGGTGTGCTTTGCTGTAATCGTTTTGGCTTCGATTGGTTTTTGGTAAGTTGTGTCTTTTCTTGTTGTATCTCATTTGATGTAAGTCATGGTAATTGTCAGTTTGACTTCAATGTTAATTCATGATTTTAGAGTGAGTTTCAAGTATACTTGAACTCTATTTCACCGGGAGAGGAAACAAGCAGTATCCTGAAAGTATACTTCACCAATTGAAGAATACTTAAAGCAGACTTTCTTTAATTGCAGTACACTTCTAGTATACTTGAAGTCTACTTTTAGTATATCTTCTTTTGGCAAGGGTTAAAAACAATAGATTGCTTTAACATACATACAAAGCATGTCGGAGCATTCTTTAAGAAGCCTATGTGTTTGTCTCAGACAACACACTAAAAACAGTTAAGCATGCATCATAGAACATTCTCAAGCTCATTAATAATTCATTAAGAAAATACAAAGGAAATTAATGTTAAATGAGTGTTTGGAAATTGGATGAAACACTGCTTAGTATTTGCATCCTTAATTGCTCCTTCAAAAATGATTTTGTTTGAGAAGAAATATCAAACATTCGACACTGTTTCATCACCAGATGAAACACCTCGAAGTTCGTCAAAAATACTCCGCTGCGCGTCGTATTTTCAACTCTCTTCTCGGTGTTTCATCTGGTGATGAAACACTGCATCTCATGTTTGATATATTACATGAAGCATGAGCAGGCAAACATGGAAAGCATGTTAACCACTGATAATATACATACACAAATTTTGTGCCAAAAAATAACTTACTTTTGGTCAGACATGTCCTAAGGGTTCAATGCAGCATGTCCATTTATAACAGAAAGGCGGTGCTTCAGTCTGCCAATTAATGAGTACAACGAATGGAAAGGATATCGTTCCTGAAGAGTTGTTTACTACTTGTATGAACTTCACCAGCCGATAGTTAAGACTGCAATGGCCATGTCCAATATTTGTAACCCTCTAAAGTCTTTCTTGGTAAAAAGGCTGCTTGATTCCAAATTACTGCACTTTTTTCTGATCTCCCTTACGAAATTACTCTTGCAATTCCAGCAAAAGAATGCCTAGGAATCCCTAGGAATATTAGGTGTGAATTTTCACGGTAAATTTGGACTTGGAATTCCTAGAAATTCCGAGAAATTCCAAGTTTAAATAAGAGTAGATTTGGAACTCTTGGGAATTCCATCTACAAGGCTGGTAAGTGCAATATTGTAGATTTCACAAGTCCTAGGAATTCCTAGGAGTTATGAAATCTACAGGCTGAACTTCAGGCACGCAATTGTCCGTAGGTATTTTTAAGCAAATGATTAATTTTCAACTGAGGAAAGCGTGAAAAGTACATTCAAAGCACTCCATACCATAATCGTATTGTACTTGTTTGTATATGTGGAAAAAAGATAAAAAATACTGATCTTTAAATTTTTTCTTGGTTCACTGATTATGTGAATCACACTTGTCAAATATTTCAGCATTTCGTTTATGTTACTTTACATTCAATAAAAGCTGCAGCATCCTAGCTGTATGGTTTTGTAAAAAGCTGCTTTTTTACTTCAGGTTTCAAACAGAAAATAATGGACTGGAAACTAAAATGCTTAATGTACTTGTAGTAGACAAGACATTTGAACATACATTTTCATGATACAATCTGCCAGAATCAGTATTCATGTAGGATTTCATTAACCATTTGCAACGATAACTATTGATATGTCTGCAGCAAACATCAAATCAAGCTCAACCATCAAACAGGCGGGTAATCCGCTCAGGGATTGAGTTTAGTGATTAAAAAAAAACAATTGTTTTTCAAGCTGAATAAACTATTCTAGTGCTTTTGAGGTGTTGGTAGCGAGAGGAAACATTTGTATTGTTTTATTTTTTCACAAAAACCATGACCTTTCCTACAAAGCTGTGATAAAGAACGTGTTGTGGACATTTTTGGAAGGCTCAGGTGCAAGAACACACTTTGAATATCAAACTAAGACCAGTTGCGTTGCTTACTACAGCTGTGGGTCAAAAGCTTTACTCCATTAAAAAAATTCTCTCAATATCTCAAAATTGATGTGATCCCTGAGAAACGTTTAGACTTCAGTTTTTGTAGTCAACTAATCGGTTATTGCTGGACCTGATGTTTGAGCAGTCCCAGCTATGGTGGATTCTCCTTCAGATTTACTCATGCTCACCTGTTCTTTTAGTGAACTGTTTTTTTGTTGGTGTTCAAGTTGAATTTTCTTCTTCTGTTTCTGAAACTGCAACTGCTCGGCTTGTGCCTTAGCTGTTGCTTCTTACCCGTGGTTCACCTTTTGTTCCATTAGCATTTTCTCATACTACATGGCTTTGGTATGGGCTCGTAAGGTGGCATGTCTTGTGCAGCAGCAATCATGCCCTTAAGGTTTGGGCAATCTTCTGTGTGCATTCGACTGCTTGAGCGAGCAATGCTTCGGCTTTTGCGCCTCATACAAAATCCCTTCATGTGTTATGGTATCACTCATTGTCCCGTTGGACATGCCCGGATTTGGAAATGAAAAACACATTATCTTGGATTCTTATTTATTGGTTGGTTACTTGACCCAAAAAAACCTCTCCAGAGTAGAATGTTTTCTCTTAAGATATATAAGGCCGCACATACACAGTTCGCTTATCCATAAATACGATCCTGTCAATACGCCTTATTCCAGAATGTTTCAATTATGTCACGACATTGTGTTCTAAGCTTGTGCTAACTACAACGTGTTTGTTTCACTGATAGAGCCCTTGACAGATTCAATAACACTATTTGGCAATATAAGATTAATATAGCTATTTTTGCCCCATTGTAATTTTATCATTGTATCAGAATAGCCCCGTATAGAGGTGTCGTAATAAAGTGTATGTTATGTTATCTTTGACAATGTGATAAGAATCAAATAGTACTCATCCTGCATGTGATTCACGAGAGCAATGAACATCCTGGTTGTTTTATGGCATCATGTATTGCTGTCATTTCATTTTCCCTTTTGCTATGTTCTTTCTTTAACGTACTCTCCCGCGTTGTAAACTTCTTAACCTTTTGCTTCCTTCCTTATTAGCAGTTGATGTCTAGTCAAACTGGGGTCCCTAGCATTGATTATCGATCAATATTTGGACATAAACCCCTGTTCTACTCATTATAGGGAAAATGGGAAATAAATGACGTTAAGTCAAATATTGAAGCTTATATATTTTTTTAATTGTACAATGAACCATTTTAAGCTTAAATGTAATATGACTTGCTATTGAGTTGACCCTTACGTGATCAATATAAATTGAGATTAAATATAGGACAAGAAACGAAACATCCAATTCCAAAAGAATTGGACTAGATTGACGTTTAAGAGATCGTCCAACCAGACCAGTTTATGGACGTGAAGGGTTCCACGCCTGTGAAACTCGTAGTGGTAGAAGGAATTTCTCACTTCGTTTTAGCGACAGATCTGACTTGTTGGTGAAGAGGTGGTTCGAACAGCGGTTTGTGTTTTTGCCGCAGAGTAATTTATGAATGACCTGCTCAACAACGCGTGCCATGGGAAGTGTTTGGGTATCGCGAGCTTTGTCTGTCCTCGGTCAGTTTCGTTTCAAAGTGTGGATAGCCAGGGAGGCCACCGAAAAGTCCCATTGAAAGGAGAGCGTGTCAGAAATATGGAGGGAAACCCAAATTGTGACAGCGGAAGGGATGTTGATTTTGCTAGTATTGTTGGCTGAAGGTTTTAGTTTCTAAGCTGCTAGCTGGAGAACACTTCACCAAAACGCCAAGATCATACATGGACGTGTCACACTGCAGTAAACACTTCCGTTAAAGAATTTAAGGGCTGGTGCAGCTGAAATAATTTTTTTTTGATTCCCTCTAGAGCAAAGCCATGAACCTATACATCCAATAAGAATTCAATCATTCTTAACACTCACCTTGATCAAATGAGTATTGGGAAGCCCACCCAACGAAAGCTACACAGTGCCGACCTTGCTTCAAAGGCATGTACCTATCGTTGAGTAGGCTTACTCCACCATTTTTGCTTTTTCTGGAGTAGTGGTGGATATGCTGGTTCCTCTTTCGTTGCAGTCCGCATAAATGAACTGCGCCATGTTTGTCACGAGCGTGTGAGTATACCTCCTTGTAACACGTGTCTTAAGTCATTAAAATATTTTTCTTATCATCACATTTGGTATTTATTTTTGAACTCCCTGTGAGGGTGCACTCTAGTTTGTCATAGAACTCGCTCAGAAAGATGTATGGCTGGCATAGCAGCTCACACATTTAGGGCTTTAGGTACTTTATGTATTCTACCTTGTCCTCCAGTTCTTTGGGCCTCTGATATGGTGTCAAAATGTTTATGTTAAGTGCCTTGTGAAATTGGCCACTCGTGCTTTCTTGTTGTTTTCCTTGTTGTTTATGGACAACAAGGGGGTAAAAACATTTTTTTTCAGTTCTCCCACTAAGCTGCCCAATTCAACAATCCCTCAAAGTGTTAAGGAAATGTGTCACTTTTGTTCAAGGAAGTGGCGTTTACTTGAAGTGCTCGTGGGATCCTTGAAAAAAGAAAGTGGTAATTGCAATAATTAATTAAACAAAAACTAGAGAAGTTTAGAACTACACAGGCCTAGACAAAATACCAGGACAGTGATATTTAAAGGTTATATTGTCATGTAAGCATTTAAAATGCTGTCACTTAGGTGCTTGATTTACATGATGGGGCGTTTGTTCAAGCAAGTGGTGCTAGTGGGGTCCTTGCCAAGAGTGTCATTGGTTATAGTAAATTAAAGAAACAACAGTTTCACTACTTAACTTCAAGAACAGTATGAAGTACTGTCAATCATTTTTTTGTTTACTTTCTTTGTGTCAAAAAAAGGAAATGCTTGTGACAGGTTTCTTCGGTTACCATACATGTAAAATTTACCATCTTTCATTCTTCCGCCAAGGGTTTGACTTTTAACTGATGGATATGGCGGAAATAAAGGCCTCTCCTAAAAAGAGTAATCATTGAATACCATACGTAGGTGGTTGTGTAAAAAGGCACTCAAGAGTGGTACACATTTACTGGTGTTGCAGTAATTATAAACTGTAAAGAATAGTGCTAGTGAAATATTTTCCTTTTTGATAGTGTAAGAAAGTACCCAGACGACTATGTGAGGTGCTTCAGGAAATTTATGTGAAGGGTGATGATACCGTAAGTGGTTTAAAATCTTGTAATATTCTGGGTTTCGCGACAATACTGTGTGACAAGTTTATATTGGCAGGCGAGTTTCTAAAAGGAATGATCATGAAGGATGATCTTAGCCTCCACAGTTCAGGAACAATTCTGCTTTCTAGCAATACTACAGCATTTCACACGGCTTTACAGGTTTTCAGAGCAAAGGCAGGTGCTAACAATATAAGGTGTGAAGTTTGTCATTCTTGTAAACTACAAGAGAATGTGTTTACAAGACCTTCGTTGCTGATGGGTTGCATCAGGAAATAATCCTTGGGCCCTTACAAGGGCAACTTGCTGTTCACTGTTGACCTATTTAAGAAGGCAGAGGTCAAACTAGGAAGGGGCTGCCTGTTCATTGGCTTAGCTATGACTGTAAGCGTAATTTGGCATGCAATGAACAAAAATTGAGGAAAAAAATGAACTAGACGTAGATTTAAATGTCCACATTCTAAACTTAACTGTGGTCTTTGGATGGGAGGATACAAGCCAGACTGTAATATTCCTTTGATGTCAGGTCTTATCCTATCACTTGGAAGCACAATTTTCCAGATTCTTTCATGTTGACCCTTTTTGATTAAGACAAGGACATCGTTATTAAGTAATCCATGGCAGTACTGTGACAAGATTTTTTAGATAAAAAAAGAAAAATCGCTTTATTTTTATGGACAAGTTTCTTGGTTCCCCCATTGACTATTTTCGAATTCCCCATAATACACTCTGTTTGCCCCCCAAATTTTGCATAAACCATTGTTTTTAAATGCTCCTGGGAGTATTGCATTTTCCCAAGAGCATTTTAAGACAATAAGTTGTGCAAAATTTGGGGGGCAGACAGAGTGTATTATGGGGAATTCGAAAATAGTCAGTTAGGTAGAGGTGTCATAAAAGTTACCACTGGGATAACCTGCACCTTGTTCGACCATAGTGGTGGAAAGGAACTCCCCACCCCTGAACCACCCGGCTAAAGAGCGCCCACAAGCTCAAACCCTTTATGGCTCGAGGCACCCAATCCTAGCGTTCATAGACTAGTTCCTTTTCGACCCTTCGAACGCGCCTCTTCTACAACCTAACATTGCGAAGAAGAATTTTCCAGATGCTCTCTTTATTCAATCCTGGCCCCCCCAATTTCTCTTCGGTAACGGCCAAATAGTGGTACAGTAATGGAGACCACACAAGTTTTGAATATGGAACAACTGGTTTAATGATACATTCCTAGAATCACAATATTTCCTTAGTGAAAGTCTATGAATGGCAATAGATAACTTGGGTAGACTGTAACGGAAGGTGTCATTTTTGCGTGAAAATGAAGTAGCCTAAGTGGAGGAAGTCACTGGTGAGGCCACAGAAACGGAACGGGTAACATAGCAGAAATGAATTGGCTGGTATCTATGGGTTTGTGAAAGTACTATTTAAGGGCTTCAATTGAGCATGAAAGTTTCTAAACGCAGCGAGGATGGGGATTCCCGATCTGACTGTTCACTTAGATTTTCGGGCTACCTTGTGCAACTCTGCATACAGCTTGTCTTGCTCTTCTGCAAGGTCTTGTAACCCGGTGCGCTGTTTCTTGTTGTTGTTCTTCTTCTTTTGTTTTTCAACGTTGGTTTCCGCGGGCTTAGGATTCGGAGGCCGTTCCTTAGTTTTCCTTCTTTGAGCGGTTCCGGTTTTTTTGCTGCTTGATGGTTGGGCAGGTTTTGTTACTTGGGCTGCACTGGCCTTGCTTCTGTGGCCCCTATAGAAGGGGCTTTCTGGGGGGGTTCTTGGGGTAATCCCGAGCGCTAACTCTCCTTGGTTTCAGCAGCCCCTTGTGATTTTCGGTAACAGGCATCCTCACGGTGCTACGATACTCTTTGTACATTTTGCAAGTCTGTACGTTAAAATGCTACAAAGATACAGGGTATGTCACGTTTTTTAAGGTGGCTCTCACCCACTATGAATGTTGCTAATGTGCATAAATAGAAGCAGGAACATTGCAGAAAGGTGTCAATGTAGAGAACACTCTGCAAACAGCAACGATGATATGAGAAAAGCATCAACGCCCCACACAGCGGCTAAAAACAGAGAATTGGCCATTGCGCATGCGCAATAACCACAAAACAGATTTTGCACTGTAGCTCCCCCCAGTTGTAACCTTGTCAACCCAAATGTCGTATGTGGACATTTCGCACCAACAGCTAGCTGCACTCTGCCATCTGCGTACAGGGGGGGAAACTCTAGGGGGGGAATACGTCCTCTAAGATGGGGTGTTTACCGACCAATACGTCACGTCACTTTCACTCGATGACGTTCAACCTTCACACAGTTCCAAAGCATCGAGGAGGGGACCACTCTGCCAACTTTGGTGGCTATACAGTAAAACGCAAGAAAGATATAGACGTGAAACAACGCCAACTCAGAAAATGACAAAACCAGAGAAAAAACAACGTCTCAGCCCGTAGCCCCCCCCGGTTTCAACGGTTTGAAACCAAATTTGGAATGTGACGGTTTCATACGAAAAGCTAGCTGGAGTACGAAATCTGGAAACCGGGGGGTGAAATCCGGGGGGACTTCTCCCCATGGCCTAATTCAGAAATTTGCCATTCTGAGATGCCGTTTTCCAGGGCCTGTAAGTCACGTGACTTTTTTGCCACCACGACCAAACTTCTGCAATCCGTAGGACATCGAACGGTGTACACCTTCTGCAAATTCCAACGTTAAACGGCAAAACCCGTCGAAATGGCAAACGTGAAACAAAGCCATCTCAGACGTTTTGGCATGTTTCAGAAAAGTTACCATAATATATGACATTACAGATGTTTTAAAAGGGGTTTGACTGAGATCTCTTAGTGAAACGTAGAAACTTACGGAGACTCGACTCCCGGTGCAGAGGGACCTGGCATGCAATAGAGGGGGGTAATAACCGGCACCTTGTTCGACCATAGTGGTGGAAAGGAACTCCCCACCCCTGAACCACCCGGCTAAAGAGCGCCCACAAGCTCAAACCCTTTATGGCTTGAGGCACCCAATTTTAGCGTTCATAGACTAGTTGCTTTTCGACCCTTCGAACGCGCCTCTTCTACAACCTAACATTGCGAAGAAGAATTTTCCAGATGCTCTCTTTATTCAATCCTGGCGCGCCCAATTTCTCTCCGGGAACGGCGAAACAGTGGTACAGTAATGGAGACCAGACAGGTTTTGAATGTGGAACAACTGGTTTAATAAGACATTCTTCGAATCACAATATTTCCTTAGTCTGATAGTATATAAATCGGCATAGATCACTTGGGTAAACTGTAACGAAACGTGTAATATTTGCGGGAAAATTATGTAGCCTAAGTGGAGAAAGTGAGTGGTGCGGCCACAGAAACGGAACGGGTAACATAGCACAAATGAATTGGCTTCTGTCTAAGTTGTGAAAGTACTATTTAACGCGTTGAATTAAGGCTGAAAGTTTGTAAACGCAACGAGGATGGGCATTTAGCATGTCACTGTTCACTTTGATTTTCGGGCCACCTTGTTCAAGTTGGCGTACAACTTGTCCTGCTCGTCGACAAGGTCTTGTAGGCCGTTGTGCGGTTTTTTGTTTTTCTTGTTCTTCGTTTGTGTGTCGAGGTTACTTTCCGCCGGCTTAGGATTGGGAGCCGGTTGTTTGGTTTTCCTTCTGTCACCCGTGGTGTTTTTTTTACTTGTTGAAGGTTGGCAAGGTTTGGTCATTTGGGCTGCGCTCGGCTTGTCTCTGTGGCCCCTATAGAAAGGGCTTTCAGGGGGGGTTCTTGGGGTAATCCCCAGCTGGTCGTCGTCGATATCGGAGTTGTCTGAGACTACTGCGGCCGGCCTCTTGCGATGTTTTGGCTTCTGTTTGGGCTCTGGCGTGTTTGGGCACTTAGGTGGCTGGTCTTCCTCATCGGACTCGTCTGATGTGCTGTCGCGTACGTCTGTGGGTTTTCTGTTTTTGGCCGTTGCTGGGCCTGTTAGAGGCCTCTTATTCTTGGCGCGAGGCGTTTGCTCTTCCTCCTCTTGTTCGTCATCGAACGTGGTCGGCAGGTTCGCTGCTGCCCTCCGTCTTTGCATGGAGCCAGATCGGCGGTCTGCTTCGCGTGGAGGTGTAGGCTTGGCAAAACCTGGGTGATTGGTCAGACGTCTTCTCGATGTTGTGCCCGATGTGCCCGGGGTTGAGTCATCGTCGTCGTCCCTGTCCAGTCGTCGTCCTCTGTTCACTGATTGTCGTTGTGGGGTGTCGCTGGCCGAGTACTGCGACCTGTCCCACAGGTCATCTGTTCGCTGGACAGTCCTTCTCTTTTGGAGGATTGTGTCGATCAGGTATTGATTGACGGCAGTCTTGGTCGGGTGTGTTCGCAAGGCCTCTGTGGAGGCGTTTTTCACAGATTGGTCTGCGAACGCCTCCGGATTGTGCAGAAGGCAGTTGAACGCCAGCACATGAATTGCCATCATCAAGACTGGCCCGGAGGCGTTAAACGCCTGCATAAACATGGTCTCCGTGACCTCATCCTTGTGGATGGCTTCTATGACGTCCAAGATGTCATCTTTATCCGGGGCCTCGTTTGAATATCTATCCTTGTTGTCTAGGCGGCGCAGGGCTGGGATTATCGGACTGCAGAAGCTTTCCAGCTTGTCCACGAAGCTAGGCGTGAAGACGGTGCCTCTGTGTCTGGGGATGTTATCCCAGTTGTCTTTGAGAGTTGCGGCCATTTCATGCCGATGTTCGGTCGGCTTAGCCATTCACAATTCCAATCCTTCAAGCGTGCAAGGATTTTATCATCGGGCAGATCTTGCAGAGCTTCCCCGTAGTTCAGAAGAAAGCTGCGCGGAAAATGCGTCTTATAGTTAGAGAACCACTGGTTAATGCTTTTGAGACCCTTGTTAATTCTGAACTCGGCCTTGCTAACGTCTTTGGAACTAAAGTGAATCTTGGTATCGTCTGCAAATAGCGTAACATCAGAGTTGTGACATGCTTTAGATATGTTGTTTATACGGATATTAAACAAAGTTGGACCCAGGACCGATCCTTGGGGGACTCCAAATGGCAGATGTCGAAGCTCAGAAGAGCAGTCTCTACATACAACAAATTGAGGTCTGCCTAATAGATAGCTAATAAACCACTGAAGAGCGTTCCTTTAATACCATAAGATTCAAGTTTGGCAAGCAGTATATCATACTTAATGACATCAAACGCTTTTCTCAAGTGTAGAAAAATGCAAACAAACTTTAGACCATCATCGATAGCAAAGTTCCAGGAGTCTACTACTTCGAGCAATGCCACTGTCGTTGAAGAGAACGACAAAATATCAAGCAATTACGTTTGGAAGGGTCAAGAGAAATCCTCTGCTAACCTGTGAAGGAATCGTTATCCCTTTTAAAGACGAATTGAAACTCCTTGGCGTCAATCTCGATAGTAAGCTTAAGTTTGAGGCCCAGATTTGAAAATCTGTCACAATTTTAGGCAACAGGTTATCGTTCTCAATCGTCTGAAGAAAATAATGCCTTTTGAATTGAGGACAGATTTCTATTATGCTTTCATTGCACTGCATTATAATTACTGTTCAGAGTCGTGGCATGACTGTGGTAAAAGAGGTTCCGGCAAACTTGAAAAAATCAATGAACGAGCCCTTCGCTTTGTGACCCGTGATAAGTCAACCACTTACGAGATGTTGCTTAAACAAGTAAACCTGCTGTCCCCACTTGATCAAAGAATTGTTAATATGGCCGCCGAGCTTTACAAAGCTGTCCTTGGGTATAAAATCCCTAGAGGTCCCTCGAGGTGCCGAAAATAAATACAACCACCTATGGACTTAAATCATGGCGTTATGCTGCAGCTGAGATTTGGAATACCCTTTCGGAACAGTTTTGTGCTACTAATAAAGGCAGAACATATATATGCTTAGCTTTTGTAACATAATGTAATAATCTTGTGATCTACTCTTAGTTTTCATAGATTTTAACTGTGAATATATTTTTATTTAGGTTTTTAATGAGAAATCTGCTCTTTTTATTGATATCACTATTTATTCATTTTTAATTTAGTGGCATATCGGTAAAGTAGCTAATTAGCTAAGAAGATTGACCGCGTTAAAAGTTATTAGGGACTTTAAGATCCTATACGCGACGGCTGTAAGACGCGACAGGAAGTAAATTTTCGAAGAGGAGACATGTTGTGCATGCTCAAGCTGTCGTCCTGGTGTCACCACGTCGCGTCGAGAACGTGGGTTTTGCGAGTTTGACGTTCTGTACAAAACGTGAGTATATCTGTTCCTGTGCTTAAATTAAATGATGATATATTCCTCTAAACATGTAAAATCAGCCTTCCAGGATCATTGGACCAAATTTCTGGCGACATTTTAGATCGCAGAGATGGAAGGATTTTGATTATTTTAAAATTTCTTTCAGGTGTACGAAGCTTATAAAATGGCAGCGACTTCGACTTCGAGTAAGGCTCGCAAGTAAGTCACGAGCTAAAACTGCAAATATAGTGAATACAGGTGTCTTCTGCATACTCTTCTCGTCTCTTGTACCGTTGCAATTCTCGATTTATTACGTTCATCTGCCGCTAAAAGCCAATTTTAAGCCTGTGTTATTTAATTTAATTTTATTAAACTGCGTGTGTTTTTATGCTTCCCTTTAGTTCAGTAATGTTTTGGACACATGATCATGAAGCCATTCTATGCAGGGAAGTCGTCAATGTAAATCCCTACACAACTAAGAAAGGGTCAACACAATGAAGCAGTATGTGGGAAAAAAATAGGAGACACCTTGAACAAATGCACTGTGCCGAAATTGAGGGTTGATAAGCGATCAGTCCGAGACGACGTGGGAATCCTTGATTACAAGCATAAGAAGAAACTTCTAGCGGAGAAAAAAGCAACTGGGATAACTCCCGATAAGCCAACTGAACTAGAAAACCTACTGGATACGATCATCGCGTTGGAAGAAAGTGGCGAAGCGGAATTACAGGAAACACAGGGAACAGCTAGGAAAAAACGTCAACACAATCGGGCTAAAGCGGAAGATGTTAGACTAAAAGCGATGGAGAAGCTGTCAGAGACGAAGAAAAGAGGTTCATCAGCGGATGAAAGCGATGACAAACCGAAGTGTCAACGAAGAAGTGGAGGTGATGTTATCGAACAAAGCAAAAACAAAGCATTTCTTGGACTTTCTTAAACGATGCCATGGCTATTTCTGCGTAAGAATCGCCGAAGAATCACTGATAAAGAGCGGTTTGCAGCCGCGTCGTCTTGCATCGCGACGGAGATCTTAACTTTACTTTTCGCGCGCAAACGACGGCGTTGTAGTTTCCAGTCCTTTATCAGCCACTGCGTTCTAGAAGTCGTCGCGTCCCAGATCTTAAAGTCCCTATTGTAATGTATGACATCATTGGTGACGTCATCGACAGTGTACTTATGAGGTTAAATTTTCTGGAAAATGGTCTGTAAACTGTGTCACACAGTGGAAGACTTCTAATACTTTTTGTTTGTATATTAACATGTCATCTTGCATCCCAGAAAATTGAATGCCATTTCATTCACAATGCATATTATTTTGAAGACAAGACAATTTATTATGATCAACTTTGGTGTCTAACTTCAAATTTAACAAGAAAAGTTGAAAGAGTACAATAGTGAAAAATGTACAATATCAAAGAAAATCACAAAGTCAAGAACATCTCAATCTTTGCACTGCTTTGTCCCAAAAACACGAATTATTTCTTCAAAACTCTATCAACAGAACTGGCTCATTACAGTCTGCTTTGACCCAGATTACATCTGAACTCTTTATTATACATCAGCATTGTTAGGCAAACCCTTTCTTTTAAGCTTTACACAACAGAGATCAGTCACAGCACTGATCATCCTGAGGTGTGTGCCACTTTTGAAAGCAGTTTTGATCAAGTTGTAGGCAGCAGGGATGTCACATGCACAGCACTTCCATGGTGTTTTTTGTTCCCTTTTATGAAGTATTGTACAGAGCTTGCAGTTCTTTCTGCCAAATGAGTGGCACTGGACAATGAGGAGCTCGCACAGAACTCTGAGGAGGTCGACCAGGGCTAGGGGTTGGGCTTAACTGCAGTTCGCTCTTTTCAAGAAATTCTTCGGAGAAAATCCTTCTGAATATCGTATGTGTTATCCCTGCGCTTATCTCTGAATTTATGATATATGCATCAATGGCAGCCATATCTAAAAAAGTGAAAAAAATAAAGTCTTCCACCATTTACGTGTTCTTCTAAGAACCTGATAGCTTTGGACTAGCTGATCAGACAGATCAACACCTCCTTTCCCTACATAATGCTTTAGAAGTGGAGGAATTATGATATAGAAATTAGGAGCCAGGGAGAATAAAGAAGTTAAAAAGTATGCATGTGTATTCTCTGACTCCCACCACAAACATGGAGCCATAAAACAAATTTCAAAAGCCAAGCGGCTAGCAACTAATAAGCACAAAGAGCGCAGAAAGGTCAGAAGCCAGAAACGTTCAAATATCACAATAGAGGCAAACAAAAAACATACAAAAAAACCTCTCAAACAAAGAACTTGACCAGATCAATTTACTGGCAAAAGGGCTCGAATTCATTCCAACACCCGTGACAAAACAAACGCAAATCAGGCAACAACTTTTGCGTGACTGTGATCAGTTCGTGAGAAGAATGCGTCTTATGTACATATGTCTAGGGGAAAACAAGGAACCCCATCCTTACCATGTCAAATCTCCATGGAAACCACCAATACAACAATCAGTAGCCCTTGAAAGCTATCTAGAACAGGTTAAGAGAGACGAAGACAACTACAGGCCTCTTGCATCACCCATAGTTATTGAGACAAACCATAAAGTTAAACAACTCGTTAAGATTCCATGTAGTACACAATGGTGTCGAGGAAACTTCACTTATGCGATTCCTTGGAGAAGTATCCCACTATGGCTTCTCTTGAACCAAAGATCTGCGGTAGTTTCTGACAAGCAGGTATGAAGTACTTAATAGGTTCCGGTAGCCTGTCTTCTCTGGGATCACGTAGTTCATTGTGAGTGCGGTGCGGATAATGCATAACGAGCATTTGAAAAAAGTAGAGCGGGTTGAACACAGAGAACTGCTTCAATCCCACCAGTGTGCGGGCGTGCTAAATATTTGAGATCCGTCTTGTGATCGGATTGCTCAGGAGTCAAAGCGGTAAATGGTTTGGTACGGGAGTTCGTCCAGGCTATTTTCATGGATGTTAACTGTAGCACCATTTCCGGCTAAAGTGGATGCATGTTCTTGAGAAAGGATGTAGCTGCTTGATAAGCCCCCAGATCTTGTGAATAAAGTTCTTGTGTTTTGACGGCATCGTGGCATTTTGCAACGTATGAGGAGACATATTTAAGCAGCATTGCCTTCCCGTCGGAGCACTGGGCGTCCATGGTTTGGTCCGTCTGCGGAAGGCTGGCAGAAGCTTCTTAGTGTGGAGAGAACCACAACGGCTGTAATAGATCCAGCTACCATGTTGTGCCCAAAGTTGCAGATCTTGAGCCGCTTATGTGAATAGTTGCCTAGAACCAGAAGATCGTGTAGGAACTCTGTAAGATCGTAAGAATTCTTCTTTACGTGTAGCAGTTTTACGTAAACGCTCTGATCGTCGAGCGGCGCGTGTGCTGTTCAACCGACAAACGTTTGTTGATCGTAACACTAGCCGTGAGGAATGCCTGTCCCAGTACCGCTGACTGGACTGCGTTGTCCTCTTTTGTTGGGGCATTTCTAGCAACCGAAGGAAACGAAACCGGTTTCTACGGGAATGGAACGTTGAACAAAAACACATAGCCGGAAAAACCAGATATCTAGTGCAGAAAACGTGTGTCATAACGTAAAAGACATCATCACTCATACCACAGAGACAACATAGCACTGGTATGTTGACAACGTTACGTCACGGTACTTATCGGAGATACGTCGTCGATTGATCAATGCCGTGTTGCCTTTGACTGCATACTAGTAGTGCTTTATGAGCCTCCTATGTACATTCTGCAGTAGCCAACAACGGAAGTCTTAAATACAGTTACTGGACATCTTAGATGATGATGGACCAGTTCGTTGCAAGTTCTCGGATAGCAAATCAAACTCGTTTCACAATCAAGACATGGTCTAGTAACCGTTACGTTATAAGCACACTAGTCATTGCTCTAGAAGCCTCCTACGGACGTTCTACTATGAACAACACAGTGTCAACGTTTGGACGAGGACATCCATTGACAAAGTGCTGTCACAAGTACGTTACATGACTATCTACTTAAAAAAGGCACCTACTACTCTTTGCGCTAGTCGCCAACTTAGGGAGTTTCGGCTGCCCATCTGCATTGTGAACAGTAGTGTTCATTCACTACTCGAATAGTTCGTTAATTCATCGGTTTCAACACGCACCATTGAATCATATATGTGATAATTACCAATGCCGAGTTATTTGTTCACAAGGAATTTCAATTGTCAACTCTCACAGTAAGAGGTAAGTTACCTATAAGGAAAGAAGAGTTTCTTCTGTTCTATTATGACAACAGCACTTGTACACATGAACAATTAGGTGCTATTCCAGACCATTCTGCTTAATACCAGAGGAGTACATGTATGTAGGATGGGCAAATCGAGTAAACCAGAACAAAGAGTCTCAACTCAAGTGCTATATACAAACTATCTATACCAATGCTGCACTTCTATCTTTAAGATGGCGATCTTAGCTTGAACATCACACCATGAATTATTCATCACGGCTACATTGAGAGTTTCAGACGGAAAACGGAGTTGTCCACTATCAGCTGATAATGTAAAAGCATTCATGTACATATAGACTGATTATATCATCTATATAACAAGCCCTTGCACTACATAACAAATTGACGACCTGTAGCGTATGATACCAGATATAAACGGGTAATGCTATGACGCAGCAAGAAATTCCAATGGAGACTATATGTGAAACGCCCTCCTAACATACAAGACACAAAATAGCCGCCAACGACTCCAAAATTGCTTACATGGTCTCTACAGGTACTTACCAAACACAACAGAACAAGAAATTGTCTGAAAAAGTAATACAAACGTGCGAAAACACAGTAGAAAACAGAGCTGAACACAAACAACCACCCTGTGGTAATTCACGGGTATATATAATAGTCAGGAAGTGTCATTTTCCGCTAAAGAGGTAACTTCGTCAACAAATGTGCTTCCCTCTGTATCAGCCACAGTCTAGCATGCCGTAGACGCCATAGGCAGTGAAACACCAATTGATCACCAGAGACACATAGGAAAGTCTTCCATATGTGCCCATTGACATAGTCGTCATACAAGTGCTCAAAACTGAAGTCTACATATGTTGTGCGAATGATTTCGACTAATCATATCTCTCACATAGTGGCACACCGGCTAGAACCCCCAATGTTGCAGACGCATGGCGCATCCACACCTACAACACGTGTCTGACAGTTTCATACACTAACACACATGATTGAAAGCAGAGGTTGAAACTACTGTTTTTCGTACTATCATACAGAAACGAACGACTGTCCACCGATCTTCCGAGCGCCTTTACGCATACACATTTCCACGCTATTCGCCATAACTTTGTGGACCAGTAGAGGATCAAAACGACTCTTCGTCCTCCAACTTTGACGTCATTCAGATTCAACCTGTACAATTACGAGGCTCTTCTTTTCGTCCACTCCGACTGGTCAGGAATGTACAATAGACACATTCAAAATGGGTACCATTTCCAAACGGGTCTAACATCGTTACCTTTTAGTGAAATCAACTGAAAAAAGATTCGACATAAAACTGTGTCCAATGCGTACTGTTTTGCCCAATATCACTCTTGGAAACTAAAATGTGCAGCCTGTAGCACGTTTTAAACACCGATATTCCAAATAGTGAAAAATGCCATGAACCGCTATTCAAGTACTGTCCACTCCTAGACAAAAGCAGCTCAGACAATCGCCTTGCCAGCGATCGATAGTGAAACGAAAGCACTCTGCCTCATTGTAATCTCATGGTACATTACTGAAATCTCTTAGAGAACTATTGATACAAACATGGTATCTAGAGTGAAAAAGTCGTGCAAATATGATCTGACATGGTCACTTTAGATTCAACTAGAACACCCACGTTTTATTGTGAGAAACTCATATTACTATACTACTATTACTATACT